ATCCCTGTAGCCGTTTGCATAGTGTACCTGTCGGTAGGAACTGCGCGCAGAGAAGAGAACCAGCGTTTAATGGCTTGTGTGACAACCGATGCCAAGACCCTTGCTGTTACAAGAGAGATCCTGATTATGGGTGACTTCAACGGACACCTGCATGAACTAGATGGACTGGAGGACGAAAATGGACGAATGATAATGCAGATGGCCGAAGATAACGCTCTGGAGATAGTCAACCTTAGAGCCTCATGTGAAGGGCAATATACGTGGAGTGCCCGTGGAAGCAAAACTTGCATTGACTATGCCTTGGTTTCACAGAAGCTGGCCCGCTACCTTGTCCACGCAGACATCGATGAAGCTGGTGACCACAGTGTTGGGAGCGACCACAACCGAATAAGGTTACCGTTCTCAAAGGCAACACGACAACTAAAAAAACAAAAGCCGCCTCGGACAGGTGGTTTCCGGCTATCCCCGACGGCAGCTGAGAAGGTTGTGGAGGAGTTCGAGAACAGCAGCAAGAGAGTGAGTGCGTCTGGATACGCAGAATATGTGGACTAATTAAACCGCCTCATCAAACAGCATTCTACAAAAGAACGAGGTGGACGACGACAAAGAAAGTGATGGTGAGGCGCGGAAGTACAAGCCGCTATCAGATTGCGACAAGAGCTGAACAGGGAGCACCGCACGGTCCTTCTTGGCGGCCACAGTGACCAAGTTCCTTTAAAGTGGCTTGCGTACCAACTCCAGAAACAAGCCGCAAAGCAACTTGTCCAAGAGAAAATGGCACAGGCTGACATGGTCACAATGAGAGAAATCAGTGCAAGCGGAAGAGATGCACCTAGGAAGTTCTGGAGGTACCTAGGAACTCTCAACGGAAGGGAGCAGTGCCTCGCTATCCTGGACGAAGACACAGGGCAGCCAACAGAGCGACTGGGACAATGTCTTACAGATCATTTGGTAGAGGTGTTCTCACCTCCGGAAGCGGCACCGCTACAGGATCTAAGCCAGACGGAAGGTACGGCCTTGACGCCGGATGACGCTACCTGTGTAACAATCGGGAGGGTGTCCCTTATACGCGCACTGGCGCATATTAAGAACAACACCGCCCAAGGCTTAGATAAGATTCTTAAGGCGTTGGGGAGTGAGTCCAGGGATCAGCTGGCGGACATCTTCGAGAACATTCTGTCTGGGACAGAAGAGATTCCTCGAGACTGGAGGGGTGGTCGGGTCGTACTGATTCCTAAAAAAGGATGTGATCGTCATTACCTTCGACACTACAGACCCCTGACCGTAACAAGTACGGTGTATAGGACTTTCGCTTACATCATGAAAGAGCACATGACCGCATGGGCGGAGGAAGAGGGTTTACTGACGGAACTCCAAGGAGGCTTCCGACGGGGGCGCCGATTGGAAGATCACCTGTATACCCTTACACAATGTATTGAGGTGGCCCGAAGGGAGAAAAGGAATCTTATCTGTTGCTTTCTTGACATCGCGAAGGCCTACGATAGCGTCCCACATACTCGGCTCGTTCGTCAACTCCAGGATCTTAACAGGCGACCGGAGTGGACAGCGCTCATCTACCGTCTTTACGATGGTAACACGGTTAAATCCCAGCTCGGTGAGTGTATGTCTGAGGAGGTGCTGGTGACGAGGGGCTTGCGGCAAGGATGCCCCCTATCTCCGCTCTCATATATGCTCTACGTGACCACTCTAGAGAGGCAGCTCATCCGATCAGGGCTGGGCTTTTCTCTAACTCACCTGGAGCATGGCGAGACCGTCAACTCGGTTCTGCCGGGACTAACGTATGCAGACGATGTGGTACTGACTGCGGCATCAGTGTGTGAAATGCAACAACTTCTTGACATATGCACTCATGAGGCTATAGAGCTTGGCTTGAGATTCAACGTGGGCAAGTCAGCGACGGTTGTGGCTTCAGGCTCCCTCAAGCCAACACTCGGCAGCCTTCGCCTCGGCGGATGCGATGTGCCAATACTCGACTCATATAAGTACTTGGGCATCGCACTGCAAAATGCGGCAGACTACCTACAAGACCACCACGCTTATCTTCGCCACGCAGCCACACGAGGAGCCAACATTCTCCGTAAGCGAAGCCTTTGGAGCTGCAATCGGTTCATTGTGTCCCGGGAGCTCTGGAAAGCGGTAGTAGTACCTGGACTGACATTTGCAAATGCCGTAGTATGCGTTCCCGGTGATGTCCGAGCCCATATGGAACGCCGACAGAGAGAGATTGGACGCCAGGCATTGGGCTGCCACGGGGGGGTCGCCAACGAGGCAGTTCAGGGAGAGCTGGGCTGGCCCTCCTTTGAGGCTCGGGAGGCAACCAGCAAAATTACCTACTACGGGCGTCTTCGCCATATGGACAGCAGCAAGTGGGCCAGGAGGTTGTTTATGTACACTCACCTGACGGGGCTGCGGACACGCTGGCAGAAGCGCCTTCATCAACTTGAGCACAAGTATGGCTTTTTTTCTGACCCCGTTGAAGCGTCATCAGAAAGGGAATGGGCGTCAGAGGTTAAGAAGAAAGTCCGTGACAACGAGGCCCAACAATGGCTCCGAGACGCAAAAACAAAGTCGACGCTCCAAGTTTACCTGACCCACAAAACAACCATTGCATCTGAAGCACTGCTGTACGACAACAGCCTGGGCAGCCGCTTGTTGTCTGAGGCGCGCGCAGGGTCCCTCCGGACACTAGTTTACAGACGCCGGTTTGATGCTACGGTGACCTCGAGTGCATGTCGGGTCTGCGGAGGCTACGATGAAACGGTGGAGCACGTTGTGCTAGATTGTGCGGGACTTCAGCCTTCCCGGTGCCCACGCCTGCAGAGCCCCTTAGTGCTCGCAGAGGCGTTGGGCTTCACAATTACTGAAATCGAGCGCAACCAAGCAGACTACTCTGATGCACAAAGCTCTGCAGCTACGCAGATAAAGGGGCCTTCTAGCGGCCGGCACTGGCTTGTAGTCGCCACTAAGCGAAGACTTGAAGACTGGTGGAATAAGATCCACCTCAGGGGGCATTAAGACCTCTTCGCTCCCAGGCTTGGGCGCGAACTTAGTTCGCGCTCGCCCGTTTCAAAGGGAACAAGCCGCATCCTCATCATCATCATCAGACTTGAGTAAACCAGAGATTTGGAAACGTCATTAAACGAATAAGAGGGAAAGCAAGCTGTAGCTACTGCTTATATATTCCGCTGTTCATGCACCACTCTCGACAACCATTTTGTCAACGTTTTTTTATAAATTTCGCGTTTCACCACTGAACCGTGATGACGCCTAAAAAGATTAACTTCCCAAATAAATACTTCAACAACGCGCGCAATATTCAACGCAGGCATTGCATTTACTGTTACTGCTGGTTGGTACTGAAGTATTTACCCCATCTAAAAGTTACAACCGTCCGTGATCGTCTGTGACTTTCAGTGTTCCCTTCTGCAAGGCACCCTATTAATATCGTTGAAAACTAACGCTCTGTTTAGAAGAAAGCCCTTTGCTACTGCAGGTGTGGGCAGCCACCGGGTTGGTGTAATGTGAAACGCGCAAGCAGCAGGCCCACAGCAGCGCTACCTGTTTGCAGGGTTGCCAGGTTGGACTATTAATAGCCAAATTGGGCTACTTTGTCATGCCTTTGGCGTCAAAATTTGGCGGTTGGCTATGTGGCTATTTTTGGGCTACTTCAAATCTTAACGCGGCACATTTTTTTTTTCTTGGTATAGAGTAGATGTACACAAGACACTTCAGCATGGACACAAAGCGACAGTTTACCCTATCTGGATTCCCGCTGTCGGGGATTTTCTGCGTGAAGATTTGTGGGCGGGATGCCAGAACCTATTAGCTTAAGTGAGCTACCGTGATCTAGATTCAGCTCCGACGACATCGCGTTTTTATTAATCCTAGCTTATTCTATGCTACCACGCACTTTCTGCTTCCTACTGGCGTCTCTTATTTCCTCGAGTTTCTCACCATCCTCCTACAGGAGGCACCTCCATCTGAGGAAAAATGATACTAAAGGCAACTCAAGACATCCTGCAGAATTTGATGTCGGCCGATAACGCGTGCTGTACCGGATATAACAAAGAAAGCTTTTTCGCAAACCTTGGAAGTTTCTTACAGCACAATGAGCCATAACAAAAGACAACAGATTTGGGACAATGAATATTCAGAACAAGGCCAAGATGGATGCGCAGGAGGAGCCCTGTTTCTTTTGCTATCCGAGCTTGCCGTCGTGCTCCCGACACTGCCCATGTCGTATGCCGCCGTGGAAAGAGTATTCAATCACGTGCCCCTCACAAAGTCAGGCCTAAAAAAGAGCATGTTCCTTCTAACTCTTCAAAACGTCCTCTATGTAAAGTTTGCTTTCCTTGGGAAGAACGAGTGGTGTAAGGACATCAACCCTGCTGAAGACGTTTTTGCCCGTTTTAACATGGAAATCATGTATGAGGCGAGTAAGCCGGGCACGAGCGAGTGCTTCATAACTATGTGAAAAACGCGTGTGGAAAATTTTGTTACTTCTGTGTTTGAAATAAAACGTTCAATACATTTCAAGATGCCGTAGATCTTGCAAGCTGCTCCTAAACCCTAGATATGTACACGCGGTGCCTTCGAATGGAACTCGCACATTCGAGCGCACGATTTTTTTGGGCTCTGCAGAATATGGCTACTTTTGGGCTACATAGATCTCTCGCATTTGGCTACTTTTGGGCTACACCGTCTGGCGTTTGGCGGTTTGAGCTAGAAACTACCTGGCAACCCTGCCTGTTTGTGTATTGATAACGTTAAGAGGCCGTGAACATCTTGTGGATATATTTCCGTAATCTATGATACTTTTCTGCAGTCAAGTGTTTTCTTTTTACATGGACGAGTGAAATTAGAAGCTCACATGCTTCCAATTGTTTTACAGATAACGAAAGTAACAATGTTATTGCACCGCCCGATATCAATTCAAAGGGGTATAAATGGGCTCGAAAGAGTACCGGGGCTTCACTGTTCGACGCCAGAGCCATTTCGAGATGATTATCGTGAAGACAGCGCTCCTTGTCCTCCTCGGCGTCGTTTGTGTCTCCTCGGACTTTCCCGGGGTCTGGAGTAGGCACCACCCGGACGTAGACCCCCGCTACAAAGAGTGGGCTCACTTCGCCATCTCCTCTCAAGTCGAGGACAGGACCAACTTCGACACCCTCATGACGCTCATCAGCGTCGAGTCTCAGGTAACGCGTCCACAAGATGTTGACAGTTTTCTACGCCTTCTCTATAGACTAACATGCGGCTCTAAAGCCAATTTGTATAGTACTCAATTCATGTATGGTCTTTGTCTCAAAAAAGTGAATTGCTTTAATTTTGTACCTGAGACTTGGATAAGATTTTTAGAGGAAAGGGTTTCAATGGGAGATCATCAGCATCTGAGTTTCAAGATACACATAAATGCTCCAGCGTAGAGGTATATATGAAGTTAAATTGAAAGCTCTCATCATCGTTCCCGTGTACGATATTGTACTTGGAGTTTTTAAGCTTTTTCGCATTCATGAGCTACGAAATTTAATGATCTTGTCATATATTTGCAGGTAATTGCGGGTGTGGACTACAAACTAAAAATGAAGGTTGCTGAATCCGACTGCGTGATTGGAGTGGACTCGTACAGCAGGGAACGTTGCCACCTCAAGGTCGATGTTGTGAGTATGCGACTCTTTTCTCTGAAAGTTTTTTTTTTTTTTTAATTTTGCCTTGCTACAGACTACCTATTGTAGGTCATTTATGTCTCATAGTTGCCAGGAATTTAATCCTGCAGTTTTATTTTCTTGGAAAAAAAAAATGTTGTGTACCATACAGCGCTGTCGTAATACACTTGCTGACTCAATGGCTTCGCACTCTTTGTACCTTTGCTCATTACATGTATAACCAAATTACCTGTAATTTATTACGTTCAGAGTAATTTCCTAATCATTTGAATTTATTTATGAGGAAACAATTGCAATAGGTATCAAAAATATTTTTAAAGTAAAAACAAAGCTTGTATCAGTTACTATTTCTTCGTTCCCTTGCTAATGGCGCCCCTTGTGTGTACAAGTTTGTAACTGAAAAATCCTGGCAAGAAATCTCCGAGGATATTTATCCGAAATTGGTAGATGAGGAAGATAATTTTTTTTTTATTTCGGTGATTCTATTCCACTAGTGAACAATACAAAATATTCGTTTTTAAACAGTAAGAAATATTCGTCGTTTTGAAAATCTCAGCTAATCGAAAAAATAAGTTACTTTATTTTTCAACGAAGAGCCATATTTTTCGTCTCAAGTAATCAAGGAGCTTAATTTTGTACTTTTTACCAAGTGCCGTTGTACTTGTAATCGATATTTTTTTCGATTAACTCGTAAAAGACTGCATGTAGGGTGGCAGCAAAGCGAACCGAACGTAATGATTTTTTAGTCGATGGTTGCGATAACTTCGTTAAAGATGCTCGATACCAATACGATCACGGTGTGTTACGCCGAAAAAACAGGGACAAAAAACGAAAGAACTAGACAGGACGCAGCGTAACATTCTACTGAATTGTTTATTTGGATGACAGAATGAAAAAAAAACTATAAAATATAAAAGCAGGCACACTTAGCAGAACAGCAAAAATAGGGGCTAAAGACACCCCCCCCCCCCCCCTCAGATGCCAGCGTCATTGGTTCGTCAAATAGTAGAATTTTTATCACTCATGGACAAAGAGGGAGCGCTTATACAAGTATTGTCGTGGTGGGACATAATCAGGAAGGCTTCGTGAATTTCTCTTGCCGTTTTTGTTTTGTGATGGCCCATGACACAGGGGTCCCCAAAGATGGGGCTGCACTTTTCAGAGTTGGGCCCGCAATCGCAACGGTCACAGTGGACCACTAAGTGGCCATACGGGGACTGCCTGATCGCCAACGCATGCTCTCTGACCCTATCATTAATGCACCACCCCGTCTGGCCAACGTACACCTTACCACATGACAGGGTATTTTGTACGTGACACTAGTGGCGCACTCGCGGAACTTAGTGACATGTCTTTTTCTGCACGACTCTCGTGGCACATCTGATTCCTCTCCTAATCTTCTTATCCTTTTACACAGTGAAGATAGTTTATTCGGTGCTGAAAAAAAAAAACGACTGGTACGTCAAAGCAATGGGCCACCTTTTTCAGATTGTGGGACATTTTGAGAATCTAAAGCAAGACAACAGGCCTACCTACCCTCTTGGAGCACTTTGGCACACTGCGCTGTTGTCTTTTTTCATCGTTTTTGCTAAGGTCTCTGAAACATCTCGAAGAACATGATGAAAAAGATGAAAGATGAAAAAAGACAATAGCGCAGTGTGCGAAAGGGCTCCCAAGAGGGTAGGTAGGCCTGTTGTCTTGTCTTTCATTCACAAGATGTCCCACAATCTGAAGAAGGTGGCCCACCGCTTCGACATACCAGTCGTTTTTCAGCACCGAATAAACTATCTTCACTGTGTGAAAAAATAAGCAGATTAGGAGAGGAATCGGATGTGGCACAAGAGACGTGCAGAAAACGACATGTCACTAAGTTCCGGGAGTGCGCCACTGGTGTCACGTACAAAATCCCCCTGTCATGTGGTAAGGTGTACGTTGGCCAGACGGGGAGGTGCATTAATGAAAGGGTCAGAGAGCATGCGTTGGCGATCAGGCAGTCGCCGTCTGGCCACTTAGCGGTCCGCTGTGACCGTTGCGATTGCGGGCCGAACTCTGAAAAGTGCAGCCCAATCTTTGGTGACACCTGTGTCATGGGCCATTAAAAAACAAAAACGGCAAGAGAAATTCACGAAGCCTTCCTGATTAGGTCCCACCACGACAACACTTGTATAAGCCCTCCTTCTTTGTCTTTGACTGCTAAATAATTCTACTATTTGAAGAACCAATGACGCTGGCATTTGAGGGGGGTGTGTTTTTACACCATATCTTTGGTGTTCTGCCAAGTGTGCCTGCTTTTATTTTTTATTTTTTTTTAAATTCTGTCATCCAAGTAAACAATTCAGTTGAATTACGCCGCGTCCTGTCTACTTCTCCCTTCGTTTTTTGGCCCTGTTGTTTTGGCGTATTACACCATGATGCGAAACCAACTAGCCCAACTAGCCATCCTTAACCAATACGATGTGCTTGCAAAGGAGTCGAAGAGATATCAGATATCGTTAACGGAGTTACCGGAACGATATACTAACCCCTTGAAACGCATTCTGCGAGCAACTGCCTCTCCTCCTATTAGTGAAGGGTCATAATTTGTGGTCCGGCTCCTAGTGTCTTCCATGGAAGTTGTGGTGTCTTTTTCTACTTTGCAGCCTTACATGATCTGTACAGCCGTGGTTAACTATAGGCCCTGGGAGCGCAAAACCAACCTCAAGTCATACAACTGCAGCGATCGTGTCTACAACGGGAAGTCAACTGAATGATCGACGCGAACCAATGCAGAACGCCATTTCTTCTGCGTGCACGCGGTAATTTATCTTTATATCCGAGATACCGAGGAAAGTCAATGAAATGTACTTTTTGACGATTAAATAAATAGAAACGTTTAAGCTTTTTCTTCCGAGCTTTTGGTTCTCCCATTACTTAGAACGATCCCTATTATTTTTGCAAGATCTGGTTGCATTGCTTGGAAGCTGATCTTAGAGGTGCTCGGAGTTCGATACTCCTGATGCACACACACTTACAGGCGGGACATAATACCCTTCTGATATGCTTAAATAGGAGCTTATTTGAGTGGAGAAACCCTTGATCTAGGGTCGAAAACCGGGCTAGTTGGTAGTGATTCATGAAGAAATAAAAAGCGCACAGAAAAAAAAAAAGACAGGGCAGAAAATACGACAGGTAGGAGAGTGAAGCGCTTTCTCGCAACTGGAAGTTTAATAGGACTTAAGAAGAAAACAAAACAAAAAATAGTCACTTCGCCGGCTGCAAATGCGCTGTTCAATGGCGCACCTCACCCTCGTCTAAATTAAAAAAAAAAAAAAAAATTGTGCGTGGCAGTATTGCCGATAAGAACGCTTCTTTAGTATCTGTCAAAACAAGTGACGGGCGGCTTATGCAGTCACCACGTAAAGTATTTATATTGAAAGCCACCAAGGCCAACAGCGCTTTCCACTCTTTAAATCGCCCTAAAACGTTTGTATTTTCTAACACGGGAGCATACCAACACCTGCTGCACTGGACTGCTAAATGGCCAGAAGGTGTCATACGATGAGCGTTGCAGTGCTTCCGCCGTCTGTCATTAATACAGCCTCCCGTTTGGCCCGTATAGGCCTTACCAGAAAACATCAGAATGCAGTATACAAGCCCCACACGGCAGTGAACAAAATTATCTGGCTGTTTCTTCCGATATGAAAAAAAAAACACCCGTTTGCTCTCCTGACAAGAGGGCCTTTTTGCACAGCTGTGGTACTTTACTAGAAGCGGTGAAAACAAGTTGCACATTACACCGCAAGGAGACGTTTTCAACATTGGTTACACCGTGGAGGTACAGAGGCACTACCATCCTTACAAATTTTTACGTAGCACCCAATTTCTTGGTCGTTCAAACTTTTGAGCAAAGTCCCGCCGCCTCCTTCTGCACCTGTATAGGAAAACCTGGCTCTTTTAATCCATGGTTGGGCAGAAATACTCCAAAATGTATTTGGAAATACAAATACTGGGATACATTAAAATAGTAGCTAAAATACTGATACTAAGATACATCTGTAAAAATGTATCGCGATACGTATCGGAAATACATTTTGAAAAGAGGCAAAAAGTACTTGGAAATACAAATACAGGAATACATTTGAGGGAGGGCAGAAATACAAATACAGAAATGCTGATAGTGCAATACATTTTCCAAATTTTTTTGAGACGCCAACTAAGATGAAGCTTGAAGATTGAAGTGGATGTTTTCGATCCCGACATTACTTTCCTGTAGGCTTGGCACTTTGCCCTGAAGGTAGTGGTTTCGGACGACAAGGAGTCTTCAATGGGCCCAAAAAAACGTTCCATCAAGGGCTGACCGCGGTCCCTTCCATGACATTTTATCTGTCTGACGAGGGAATCCTGTCAACATTGATCACATGATGTCACGGTGGAATAAACTAGTATTCTTTATTTGCAGGTGTGGCCTTGGACATTAAACCTTACTACGCTGCTGTATGAAAGGACAATACGTACTTTCGCTGTAGGTTACCTCGTTGAAGATCGTGCATGCAGTGCCATTTGGAATGTTTGAGAATAGTGGACCACCTGAAGCATTTTTGAATACATGTCTTATCTTCTGCTACGGTTGAAAAAAACGATACGGTAGCATCCCTGTTCTGCAGTTCATTACTACCAACACTCCGCCACCGACGCACGGATTGCAGTCCTCAAGTTTTGCCTAGCATTATCCAAACAGAGACCTCGTGGATTGCGAGCTGACATTGCCGGCACAGGTAAGAGCTGCCCGAGAAGCAGCGGTCTCGACACGAGTCGCGGAAGTACGTAGTCTGGGATGGCATAGCGAGGCCATTTCTGGCCTCCTTCTGGGTTTCGGATCACCAGAGGAGCAGGTCACGTTCATGTCGGCTGCTGACGTACCCTTGAGCCATGCAATGTTACGGGCGCAGCCGCAGATGCATTCGAATATGTGTTGAACTTCACAGCGTGAGTCGTCCTACTATTTAAAGTCAACCACCGCCAGGCTGGTGCTGCAACGGAATGTGACTCAGCTTTGCCGGCAGGGTGTACTCTGTACGCTAAGGCGAGAGAGATGGTTAGCAGCGGGCATTGGAGGCCAGCAAACATTGACTCAAGAAATCCCTACCTAAGGACGTACGACAGAAGATGCTCTGACTCCACTCCTGGCACGCCACCGGGTTCGAGTCCCCGACTACGCAACACTCCTCAGAAGAGAGAAGAGGACGCATAGAAAAATAGTTTGTAAAATCAAAAGGAACCTTGGTCAGCATAGTAACAATGCCCCAGCATCTCCTTGACTCTGCTGCCCTCAGAACTAAAATAAAAAATAAAAAAAATGTGTTCGGACTTGTTTCTTTTTTTTTTTTCGTGGGGGGGGGGGGGGGGGGGAGTATTTCTCAAGAAATGTAACGAAATACAATTCATCCTGATTGTATCGCGATACAAAGAAACATTCCAAAATGTATTTCAATACAGAAATACAGATACTGGTGAAAAAAATGTATCGCGATACAGAAATACAGATACGAAATGTATTTCTGAAATACTATCGCGATACCTTTGTATCGCGATACTGCCTAATTCTGTTTTAATTTTTTTCCCTGGTCAGTTAAAAGATGACTATCTGAAAACATGTCGCGCGTTTTATTTGGACCGATGATTTGTTCTATTCAATTCCTCAACAGGATTTTCTAGTAGCAATAAACAATTGCCTTTTTACGACCGGTGAATTGAAGTTTAGGGACTCTAGCCAGTGTCTACCAAAAGTTCGATGAAGCTACTTAATTTCTACTCCAAGTCTATTTATTTACTTATTTATTGAAAGTGCCCTCAGGGCCCGAAGGTATTACAGAGGGGGAAAGCACATACATGAAACAAAGATTGTAATATAGTAACAAGTAAACAATATTAAATATACAACAAACAAAGAAAAATAATAATATTAATAGGTCATGGGTCACTGCTAAAATAGCTAGTGATGGAATTTCTAAACAGGTTAGTATCAGTTATAGTAGCAATCAAACCGGGGAGGTGGTTCCATTCCTCGGCTGTGCGGGGTAAAAAAGAAGATTGAAATGTTGTGGTCAACGAACTTGGAACTTCAACTTTATGGTGATGGTCAAGACGGGATGGAATGTAAAAGGGGGAGTAATCATCCGATTGCGTAGGAGAGGGTTATGAAAATACATTTTATGAAATAGACATAGGCGTGAAATTTTGCGTCGCAAAGAAAGAAGTGGTAAACATAAACTATTTTTCATTGATGTGACACTAGCAGTACGATGGTAGTTGGAAAAAATGAAACGGGCTGACCTATGTTGAGGGAATTGTTGCTTCTTGGCGTTCCGAGATATCGATCAGTCTCAACAAACCCCAACACTTTTATTTTAAACTACACACACTACACACACGTTCCAAACAGACGAGCCACTTTCTCGTTCTCCAATCGGTAGTGTTCCAGCTTTCGTTCTGTCCGTCTCCACTTTCCCAGCTGTTGATCTTCGCGGCTGCATCCGGCCGCTGCGGGAACGAAGTTTACATCTCGACCCCCGCGCGCGATCGTAAATCGTCTCCGCCGAGACAAGCCGTGGTGTGAAGTTCAGCTCGCTCCTCGCGTGCATCCTCTCCGCAGAAGGAATCCGATGCCGTCCTCGCGAATGTTCCAACACACTCCCCACCGAATGGGCGCGAGCACATTCTAGAGTTCCGTCATTTCTAGGGGGTAGATTAGTTGCACTGGCCTTCGCAATACCGTACCGCGATGTACGCGAATCTCGCATGAACGAACCCTTGCATCGCGTCCATAAAATAGCTTCTCAACCTTTCCAAGCTTCCAAAGCAGTCGTGGAAGTGGCTCTTTCAAAAGGACTAACTGGCCCACTCGGGGCGAAGGGGACTGCTTTTGGCGACTAGCATAAGCAGACCTCAGTTCTCGGAGGTAATCCGCCCCCCACGTCCCCCAAAATAAATTTAGGATCCGTTTACGCTTTCGCCACAGACTGCGAAGTGTTTCCGGTGTCGAAGCGAGCGGCTTTCCACCGGCCGCCGGCAGCGCCGTCAGCCGTCTACCGATTAGAAAGGTCGCCGGCGTGAGAGGGTCGCCCTCTCCAACCTCGTTGTATACAAAGGTCAATGGTTTCGAATTCACCACGGCTTCAATCTCGGTGAGAACCGTGGCCAATCCCTTCGCGCCCAGGCATTTCTTTCCAATCACTTTCCTCAATGACACCTTTACTGAGCGCACGAGCCTCTCATAAAAACCTCCCCACCATGGCGCTCGTTCGACAATAAATCGCCACTCTATGCCAGAATTAGCAAAATGCTGAATCACATCAGGGTGTCGGAGTGTCTTCCACAGTTCACTTAGCTCTTTTGAGGCCCGTTTAAATGTCAAAGCGTTATCCGAATAAATGACGCGGCATACCCCTCTCAGCGACACAAATCTGCGAAAGGCATACAGAAAGCTCTTTCTCGACATGTCTGTCACTAGCTCTAAATGAACCGCTCGGGTGACCGCACATGTAAACAACAGCACGTAACATTTGCTGGTGAGGTCGTTCGCCTTAACATACAGGGGTCCCGCAAAGTCTGTGCCCACTACTTCAAACGGGTCCGCTCGCGTTGTACGATCCGCCGACAAGGGTCCCGTTGGAGCACTTGCAGGAGTCGCGTTGAATCGCTGGCAGGTCACACACGCACGCACCACTTTCTTTACCAGCTGTCTTCCGCGGAGGATCCAGTACTACAGTGT